TTCCTAGCAGGTGTAAACCAGCACACTCTGCAATACTGGAATGGAACTGTTGCGAAGCCAAAATAAACAAGTAACTTGTTACTAATTCTTCACATTCAACCTTAGTGTATACAACTGGGTGACTAATTTGTCAGGAAGGTCTGAAAGAAAATGGAGAGCCTCCACTGTGTGTTGTACACATAAAAGTAAAACAAAACCCAAACTTCTTGTTGTTGAGTCAATTCCAACTCATGGCGACTGTACAGACAGAGAATTGGTCCACAGGATTCCCAAAGCTTCATCTTTACAGAAGCAGATTGCCCCATCTTTCTCCCGCAGAGCCCTTGGTGGGTTCTAATCGCCAAGTCTTCAGCTAACAGCCAAGCACTTAACCATGGTGCCACATGGGCTCCTTTACACAAAAGTAATAACCTTTAATTTCACTTCCCTACCCCTGTATTACTTTGCTTTAGACAGTTTAACTAAGCTTCTCACAAATCCTTTAGTAGGATTTACTGAGCTTATTATCTTATTTAGATTTGTAAGTCGATACAAAACTGAAGAAAAGAAAAAACAGAGAGACTGAATGGAATATACAGGGCAGAGTTGTAAAGGATGCTCACTAGAAACCAATTACTGTGTAAGTGTCTACAGAAAATGTAAATAAAACCAAGATTAAAACACAAACCTCAATTTCAGTCATACTTCCAACAGACACAGATAAGAAACCAAGGCGAAGACATCACGTATTTTAGCTATATGGAAAATGGTTACAGCCCATTAAAGAATACTGCACACACGGAACAGTATAATACTAGCCTAAAACGTTTTCCAACTGAACCCTGATGCCTTGATGTGCAAAAAACTGGAAATAAAATTCCTTTGATTTTGGCTCCCAGTGGCCAAGACATTGACTTGTTTTAATGGCCAAAATGGGGACACTGTTACGCATAACTTCTCAGAAGCACTGGGCTTAAAGCCACATATGTTTGAATACATTTCTGTGTCTGTTGTCCAATAGGCTGAGGCAATTTTTTCACAAAAGACCAAAATTTACAATCAGCAAAAAGGGACTGTATCATGAGGAACAAGGGGACCAGTATGCCTAGAGGTTAAGAGTTCAAGTTCTGGTGTCAGACATGCCTGAATGAAAGGTCCACATCCCGAACTTACCAGGTGACAATGAAGAGATAATTTAAGCTAAGCTTAGTTCCCTCATTTGTAAAATGGAGATAATACCTCATTCAGCCATTATGAGATTAAACAAGGTAACTCATGTAAAGAAAGTTAACCCAGCCCAGTGCATGGCACAATGGCCCCTATGAGTCAGAAATGGCTCCACGGCATCTAACAACATCTACAGAAGAGTCCCTGGGGGGCACAAACCATCTAGTGCTTGTCTACTAACCCAAAGGCTGGCACTTGGAACCCACCCAGAGGCAGCTCAGGAGAAAGGCACGGCCATGTGCTTCCAAAAGCCTTGAAAACCCTATGGGGTCAGTGTGAGTCAGGGTCGAGGGGATGGCACATATAGAAAAAGATCCTGAAGGGCCTCTGAAATGGATCTGAAGTAGGAAGGTTAATTTTCAATGAGATCTGAATTAATGGTCTTACCCATTTAGGGGGAGCTCTGGTAGCACAGTACCTAAGGCACTTGACTGCTAACCAGAAGACTGGCGATTCAAACCCACCAGCCACTCCTCAGAAGGAAGGCTGGACAATCTACTTCCATAGTGATACCACCTGGGAAACCCAAGGAGGGGTCGCTATGGGTCAGGTCCAACAGGACGCCACATAACAACAACAACCTATTTAGAGGAGTTACAGAGGGTATTACAGAATTTGTTTTTGTTTTGGTTTGGTTTTGAAATGGGAAAGTTAGCAGAAACGGGGAAGAAGAGGAAGAAAAAGCCTTCAAACTAATGCACACACCATTGTTCAATGAACAAAAACAACAGAAGCTTGACCATCCATAGTATTTCATAATAGAGTCAGAAAATGAAGGGGAAAATATCAGGTAAAATATTCTAACTCATATTAAAAAAAAAAAAACTGATATACCTATTAGAAAGGTTAAAGTGCTCAAAGTCGGAAAAAAAAAAAAAAAGCGGGGAACAGGTTTACTGGCCCAATGGAGCCTGGTGGAACCACTGAGACTATGGCTCCTAGCTGTCCTTCAGGTCTGGAATTGAACACACACCTGTAGCTTCCAGCCAAGCAGTAGACAGGCATACTAGTTGAGCATTTATCTGAGGTAGATACACTCGTTGGAGAGAACAAGTAAGAGAGAAAGAAGGGCTGCTCAGGCACAGGGAGACAGCTCAGGGAGTAGGAGTGCCTGGAGGGATGGTCACAGGGAAGCGGTACCTATCGGGAGGAAGTGGGAGAGGAGATGTTGCATTGTGCTAAATTGTGGTCAATGTCATGAGACAAAGTGTATGTGATCTGCTGTATGGAAAGTGTATTTGCTCTGTAAATTTTCACCCAAATCACAATAAAAAATATAAATAAATAAATAAAGTGCTCAAAGTCATCAAATAAAAAATGCAAGAAACAGAAAGTAAAAAATCAATGATGCCTACAGTTTAAGTGATGGACTCCTCCCTTCTAAGATAATGGCTTACATTTCCCATTTGCACCCCATGGTCTTTGCTGCTGATTTGAACATGCTATCAGCTTGAATGTGCCATGAGCTGGTATTATCTTTCTGAAACTAAATACACCATTTTGGTTAAGGACAAAAATAAAATCTTGTACTCTATTATAGCTCTGGTAGCATAGTGCCTAAGGCACTTGACTGCTCACCAGAAGGCTGGCGGTTCAAACCCACCAGCCACTCCTTGGAAGGAAGGTTGGGCACTCCTACTTCCGTAGTGATACTGCCTCGGAAACCCAAGGAGGGGTCGCTATGAGTCGGGGCCGACTCGATGGCAAACAACAACAACAACAGCTATTATAGGAAAATAGTAGTAATTCAATTATTTAAAGGCTACATTTCCAAGAACATCCTGTGAAGGAGACAGTTCATTTTTGGGGAAAAAAGTTTCCTCATGAGTCTAAATCAATCACAGGCAAATTGTTCAAGGCCAACTAAAAACAAATTTCAAAATAATGCAAATTTTGATATTTTGAGTACAAGTATGATTCTGAGTGAGCAAGTGAAACATGGAATTCTGAAAGAAAAAAGATGTGATGAAAAGACTTCAGCAGGAAGTACGAATCAGTGTCCAATCCATCATCAGAAGTGCAAAAGTTCTGAATACTAAAAAGCCACATGATATATAAACCACATCAATATTAGGAACTTAGCAATACAAAGAAAATATTTGAGAGGCATTTTTCAAGCATTTCAACTTTTCTGTGCTACAGACATTACTGCAAAATGAACAGAGAGACTGGTTAGATGCTCGAACGAATAATTTGGCAATCAAAAAAATAATGACGCTTCCAAAAGAAGTTTTGTCAACTAGAGAAAATGGACATTTTCTTTTTACTGCTGAAGGATTCAGAAGAATCTCATTCTACTTTTGCATGCAAATCACCAACCTCCAAAGCACATTCGACTGTATGCCTTTATCTGAAAACTACTGCAGTGTGATCCTATTCTAGGGAGGACATCAGCCAGCCAGATAAATGAAATCAGGGCACCCACACACTCTACGAGTATTTTCACATCATCACATCCACTGGGCTGTCACCAGGTACACATGGCCTTTTTCAGTAAGGAGGCCATTATCAGTGATCAAAAATCTATTTGGAGAAGGTAAAATTAGTTTTGATGGACAATCAGGTCATTAAAGGTTACAGACACCTTTCAATACATGGACGTGCAATGGCATCTAGCATCATGACAGTTTTTAAAAACTCAGCATCCCTTGGTTTTCATAAAACACTAGCTATTCACTGGGGACTTTTTGATGGCAGAATTTCAGTAATAACTGTATGAGTTGTTATCCACCTGATCGTTACATGGTAATATGAACAACTAACAAGTACAAGAAAAGCACAAACCAGACTCTGCCCTTCCTTCCCTTCCCTGTTAAACACCTTGGAACAGCGAGAGCTGACTTGGATCCATACATCGATTTACCAGGCGATCAAGGTTACAAGGACCACTTTTAGACCGCAATGACTCAAGAAATGAATTAACTATCACTAATCAAGGAATTCACCCCATTCAAACGTTCTCCCAAAAGCACACTTAGTTTGGGAAATAGTGTTTCAGGTAAATTTAAACAAATAATGAAACATGTTAATCAAGATACAAGGTCATAAAAGGTTAATTTACCTATAAAGGTTAATTTACCTTTCCAAATTATATAATAATAACTAACCTTAATTTTTAAAAACTTTTTCTCTAGTTAAGGCAAGTCACACCCAGAGGAGTGAACTGCTTTGGTGGTACCTGCCTTACCCCACACCCCACCCCTAAAGGCAGACGTCCAATCTTCCCCCCCCCCCCAAGGTCGCCAGACAACCAGGACCAGAAACAACAGAAAATGCATTTCCAATCTTTGAAACAACGCACGAGGTAGAAGTTGAAGGAGGAAAATCAGCATAGCAGGTTTAGCAAAGCTATGTAAATGTCCCAAAAGCCTGCCGTCAGAGCAGGTCACCCAAAAGGCATCGCATGGCTAATGCCGGCCCCTGCTTTCACCTAGCCACTCAAGACAGAACCCAAGCAATTAACCCAACAGACGTCTCCAAACCTGAACCATCCCACGGGAAAAAAAAAAAAAAAGAAGTATGTCTCATATGAGCACAGAAATTACGCCGCCTGCTTTCGGATAGGGGGTGGGGGCAAGTGATGGCGAGCTTGTGCTTTCAAAGAACCCAGGAGCGCTGATTAGTTCAATCCGTCCCCAAATCCACGCCACCCTTTCAACTTTACAATTAAAAGAGAGAAGGAGAAATTCCGGTCAACTCGCCTTGGGGGGTTGGGCTGAGGGCGTCGGACTCAAGTAGGGAGGAAGATGGGAGAGAGAAAGAGCAAGCCCATGAAAGATACCAAAATTTCCCACCTTTCTTAAACTCTTCCAGCATAGCGTCCAACTTGGTGTCGTTGAAAACAAAGTGCAAGGGGTGGTTATAGAATCTAGTGATGGTTTTCAGGGGGGTACAGTCATCGGGGTCCACAAAGGCCAAGTCTTTGACGAAGAGGAGGTCCACGATGTTGGAGCGCTCCCCCTCGAAGACCGGGATGCGAGTGTAGCCGCTCTCCATGATCTCCGACATGGTGTTGAAGTCCAGGATGGCCTCGCCGGTGATCATGAAGCAGTCCCGGAGCGGAGTCATCACGTCCTCCACCGTCTTGGTGCGTAGCTCCAGCGCCCCTTGGATGATGTTCAGCTCCTCCTTGACGAGGTCGTTGTAAGGGTCGGTGACCCGGAGCATCTCCAGAAGCTTCTCCCGGTTATAGACGGTGCCTATCTCCTGACCCAGGACACAGTCCAGCAGCTTGCTGACCGGGTAAGAAGCAGGGAAGGTCATCATCATGAAAAACTTGGTGAGGAAGATGGTGTTGGCGCCCACGGCCAGGCCGTGCCGGGAGCAGATGGCCTGCGGCACGATCTCCCCGAAGATGACGATGCCGATGGTGGACACCACCACGGCCACCAGGCCGGAGCCGGCGATGTCGTCGAGCAGGATGGTGAGCGTGGTGTTGACCAGCACGTTGCCCAGGAGCAGGGAGCACAGCAGGTAGTTGCCCTGCCTGCGCACCGGCTCGATGCGCTTGGCGTAGTTCTTCTCCTTCTCGGTGCCGCAGTTCTGCACGATGCGCAGCTCCATGGGGTCCAGGGCCATGAGCCCCAGGTTCAGGCCACTGAACATGCCCGACAGGCACAGCAGCAGCGAGATGAAGATCACCTGCAGCCAGAAGGGCAGCAGGAACTTCTTCTCCTCGCCCACGATCATCTTGGTGTCCTCGCCATCGTGGTAGATCCAAGTGGTCTCGGCCCAAGGCGGCGGCGGCAGCCCGGCCACCCCGGAGCCGCCCTTGCCCCCGACGGCGCCCCCGGAGGAGCCCGGGCCGCCGGCGCCCAGAGCGGGCGTGGAGAGCGACGTGCACAGGTAGTAGGACTTGCTCTTCTCCATCTTGCGCAGCGGTTTGATCTCGATCTCGATGATGCCCGAGGTGCGGCGGTTGAGGATGATGTGGGGCAAGATGATGATGTCTGAGGTGCGGATGCCGCAGCGCTGGGGGCCGCTGTCCGGCTCCGGCGGCGCGGGGCCACCCAGCCCGCGCTCGCCGGGGCTGTGGCGCCGCCGCTCATGCTCGGTGAAGGCGATGCGGGACCACGTCTCGTTGTTGATGTTCTGCCCGTACACCCGGAGCTTGACCCGGGTCCTCTCGCTCACCCGCAGCGCCCCCCCTTCCATGAACGACACGTCGTTCGTGTCCTCCAGCCTCAACCCAATGATCACTGTCTCCTCGTTCTCGCTCGCCGCCGCGCAGCCGCCCGCGCCGCAGCAGCAGCTCAGCAGTAGCAGCGGCAGCAGCCGCCCCGCCGCTGCCTGCAGGACCCCCCGGCCGCGGGCGCTGAGGCTGCGGCGCGCCGCCATCTTCCAAGTGGGCAGTGCGGCGGCTGCCTGCCCGCCCGCCATCTTTACTTCGGGTTCACAAGCGCCACAGCCAATCACTGGGTGGCTGTTCCAGCTGAGGCTTCATCCTTCCCACCCGGCGGCGCGAGCGCAGGCACTGGGCCCTGAGCAAGACTGCAATCGAGCGTCCGCGCCCAGTACTCAGCGGTCCGCCTCCCTGACTGACACTGACTCGGCCTGGGCCAGCTGAGGAACCCCTAGGCTCGCGGGGTCGGGGGAGTTGGGAGGGAGGGGAGGGCCAGCCGCTCCCGCGAGAGACAAGCCGGCGAGCCAATCATAAGCGGGTGCCCGCCCTCCCAGCCAGGGGGCTGGAATGAGGGCGTGGTATGAAAGGCGCCGGAGACCAATAGCAAGGTAAGTGGGTGTGGAAATGAGTTGCCACCGTCCTCCACAACACGCCAGGTTTCCAACTGAAAGGCGCGTGACTCTTGTGTATGTGCGAGAAGAGGAGGTGTAACCAGCCGGAGTCCGAGAGCCAGTCAGAAAGGAGAGCTGCAAAAAGGGGGCGGAGCCTCTGGTCTGGTTGCCAATGAATAGAAGCCGTCCCCGGTGCTGGCGATCTCTGAGGGGACTCAGTAGTAGATCCTGGCGCCTGCTGCCGGCCTGGTTGGACTGATGCCCTGCGGCGCGAGGCTACCCGTTTTCCCTGCACAGCGTTGCTGACCATTCAGGACTTATGGTCGGTACGTAGCTGTTGCACCCTCCTGTCTCAGGTGCCTGACATTTGAATAGAAACGACTTAAGGCGCACGTAAGTCCCAAATGAAGTCAAGGCACCGGCCGCGAAACCGCGCGCCCCCTTCCACCACCTGTTCGCGCAGCTCTTGTCTGGGATAAGCAGCAGCCAGGTGTCCCCCGCACCGTGGAGGACCAGCACTTCTCGCATCCCTCGCTTCCCCTACCTGGATGCTTGAGCGCCACGGCTCGCGGTCAGGTGGCGCCACCTTCTGGTCATATGTGTGTCCTGCAATGCTTCCAGGTCCGATGTAAACCCCCCAAAGGACTGGGGAAGTTAAAGAGGGGGCAGTTTTCCAAACTTCCTCATATTCCTGCTAAAGGTAATATTCCCTGGATCTCATCCCATATTTACTAAAGGGAAAAAGGCCAGAAATCTATTTTGAACAAGCACCCTGGCAATTTGGGAAATGAGAAGAGGCATACATCCCCAGGCAACCCGTGAAGGCTTGTTCGCAGTTACATTGACCAAACTCAAGTTCACAGCTGGCTCTGGGGGAAAAAAATTCTGGAAACCTAGCTCTCCGTGCCTCCCAACCCCCCTGCGTCTGGGGGAGACGCAGTATTAGAATGGGTGCCAGACTGATCTTTTTCTCCCAACGTAAACATCCAAAAAAATAATAATTGTTCTTTTATGATTATTATTTATTTATTCTACAAGCACATTTACTTCCCTTTTTCTAAACAAGTCAAACGTTTCTGATTACTTTCTGGTAGGGATGAGTACAGCAGCCTCTCTCCTGCGCCGGCCCCTTCTCTCCTCAAGCCAGCAGCCAGGTGATCTTAAATCAGATCCAGTCCCTCTGAAAACCCCCAGTGGCTTCCCACCTCATCACAGTAAAAGCCAAATATCTACAATATCCTATAAGGCCCTAAAGGATCTGCTCCCTGCTCTTACTTCTCTGACCTCATCACCTGCTGCTCCAAACCCAGCTGTTTCTCAATCACTCTGGGGACGCCTTTGCACTCTCTGTTTCCTGTGCCTGGAAGTCTCTCCCCCCAGATATCAACATAGCCTGCTGGTTCACCTTCTTCTAGGCTTTGCTCTGAGGCCATTTTATTTTAAACTTGCAAGCACTCCCTATACTCCATGTCTGCTTTTTTATCTTCAAAGATCACGTTCTAATATTCTGTATAAATTATTAATTTGGTTTATTATCTGTCTCCTTCCACTAGAACATAAACTCCCCGAGGACAAAGATGTCTGTTTTCTTCACTGCTGTATGACCGGGGTTTATAACACTGGTAGGCATTCAAAACAATATTGGTAGATATTAAAGAAATTAAAGAATTTCTATTCTGATTGTTTCAAATCACGTTCCTTCAGTTTTTGGCCTTGTTTCCACCACCCCTAATTTTCATACTACTAGATTTTTAAAAGTTTAGATTAAGAAAACCTGATTCAGAGTTGGGGTGCGCTTGTAAGAGTGGCATTATGGACGTTTAGGGAAAAAAAAAAGTTGGGATTTTTAGGGGTATCTGACAAAGCTTAAGAACAGACATGGTCCTAAGTCAGCTGATTGGAAATGAAACCATTTTCCCTTCTTCAAACGTGAGTCCAAGGGTGTTTAAGGGAACATGATGCAAGACTCTCAAGTGCTGAATGAACACTTTCAGAATAGTGTGGAGAAGAAGGAGGGGGACGGGAAGAGCTTGCCAAACCTACAGACATTTCCTGTGCATTTCAAAGAAAGCTAGAACGGTCAGGGAACTGTGGCATTCAGAATTTAGAAGCAAGTTAGCAATTAGGACTTCATAGTAAAATGTCAGAAAGGACCCGCCAAGCCAAGGTACACCCAAGACAGAGAGCAGTCTAGATGCCTAAGTCAGGTAACTTTCCTGAGCAAGACAGACCTTCAAGTTTCCTCATTTGTAAGGGGCAGCTGGTACAGGCTTGTACTGACTTCGGGGGCTTTCCAAACTGTCTCTGTATGAACAGAAAGCAAGAGCCGTATGTGTTTCTAAGGATCTCTTTTGACAACTGGGGGGAAAACATTCAACAAAACTCTGAATTCTGAGCATATTTAAACAGAAAGCTCTATATTTATAGAGAAGCTTTTCCTCCTGGTGTTATTAGATGCCATTGAGTCAGCTCCAAGGCCTAGCAGCCCTATGTGTGACAGAATGAAATGTTGCTCCACCCTGCACCGTCTTCCTAATTGTTAGTACGTTTGAGTCCATTGTCTTGTCCATTGGGTCAGCCCATCTCACTGAGGGTTTACCTCATTTTTGCCGAGCCTCTACTTTACCAACCGTGATGTTCCTGTCTAACAATTGGTCTTTCCTCATGATGTGTCCACAGTGAGTGAGCCAAGTGAAATTTTAGTCACACCAAAGCACAAGGTTTTCTGAGGAAAAATAGGAACTAAGCAAATGGTGGAGTTACCCAAACTTTCCGAAGGATCAAGTCTGTGTGCCTTGACAGAGACTTCTTAGAAGCAGCATGTCCACTTGTTTAAATATATAGAACTCCTTTAACTAAAGAGAGCATTTGTCACAACAGTTAGCAATAAAATAAAATAAAACAAAGCCAGCAATGCCATTTACCTTCTCTAGAGAAGTTTTTGGGCTTTTTATTTTGGACTTTCCAATTTTCCTCCTTTTCTAGATCTTTTCTAGACATAGTTCCTGGGAAAGAAAGAAAAAGGTGGATTTTTGACATAGTTTTAAGGAAAGCTTCTTCCCTTGATAAGGGCCCACGTTCCTCGGGTTCTTCCAGGAAATTCCAAGTCTTAGGCCCTGAGGTGCCCGAATGGGAAATAGTAAGAGGGGAGTCACTTGGTTGGCAGCCTTTCTCTAGTGCCCTGTAAGCCTCTTCCACCAGCCCATGACAGTCACCTCTTCCCCCTTCCAGCTCTGTGGGACACCTACTTCTGCTCTTCCTCCTTGAAGTTGTATCCTACCGAGGCCTGGCCTCAGGAGAGATTGTCTTGCATCCTGGTACCTTTTTCCCTGGGACTGACTTTGAGCCTCAGTGGCAGGACCCTAACAAGTCTCCCAAGCACTGGGCTGTCACCCAGTCCCTCCCTCTCCATGGCCCTTGATCTTTCATCATTAGTCAGAGAAGAACATTTTTGCAGCTAAAAGCCTACTGTTCATCAGGCCCAGGAGCTGTGGAATTTTCTAGAATCTTCTAGAATGTTTGTTCTGTGTTACTCTTTCTCTCCAATCCCAGCCTCCATCTCAGCCTTGGGCAAATGTTTAAGAAAGTTTCTGATCACTGTGATTGTAAAAAACACTCAGCACAAGTCATGATAGTAGGAAGACCTTTCATTTCCATAGCTTTTAAATGTTGAACCATGTGAATTCTGCCTATTCAAAAACAGAAATTTTAAAACCACATTTGGGTGGTCCTCGGGACATAAGGAAGACTCCGATGAGAGGATGGCATGTCCAATTCTGAGTTCTCCCATAGGTTTCAGACCTGCATGGATCTGACACCAGAGCTTTAATTTATGGCCACTGCTGTAGTCACGAAAGACCAGGTTTCCCAGACCAGCTGAGTTCATTCCCAAAGTCTTTTCTCCACATCCTCTGAAGCTGGAGCTAAAATTCTGTTTCAATAATCCCCATGCATAGAAAAACAATGTCAGGCCCCAGTGGAAAAATGCTGCTCCTATTTTTAGTTCCTCTGTGATATTGATGGTATTTATTTTTAAAAATCACTAAACTGAAGACTTAATTTATTTCGTCTCATTTATTAATACCACATTGTTTCCTCTTTAAATTTTAAATACAAAGTTTGTGTTTTATTTCTTACCCCATTTTTTTTCTCCCCTCTTTTATTTATTCATTTATTCAACTAATATTTAGCATATATCTAATAAGTTCCAGACACTGTGCTAGGAATTGTAAAGCTACAGTCTTCAATCAGAGGTTACCCCAGAAGCTTACTAATAATGAGGTTAAGAAACATGTACGTGGATAATGACTGTATTTTTCAGCATGCAGCATGCCCTTGTAAAGTGCACACACATATAACACACATAGTACATGGACAAAACTAATGTGCAAGGGGTTGCCATTTGCAAGACCATGTAACATGCATGTTATTTGTGTACAAATATGTTCTATAATATGGAGTAGAGCACCAAGTGTCTTAGAAGGAAGTACAGATAAAGAGGGGGTACTGAGGAGAGCTTTGTAGCCTTTGAGCTGTTTCTGAATAGGTGAGTTTTGGATATACAGACCTAAGAGCTATTCTAAAAAGGGTTTAAGAGAGAAAAGGAAAAAATATTCTAATGGAAGGGAAAGTGTGAGGTGAGGTTGGAAAGGTAGCAGCATTTTTCAAACAAAATGGAGTTGAACTTGGCTCTCTAGCTTACAAAGAAGAACAGCAGGAATCATGTTGGGAAGTTGGTTGGGGTTGGTTTGTGCTGGGCCAAGATGGGTCACCACGCCTCTGGGAAGGCCACACGTGGACCACAGCTGCCGCCACTATAGTCTCTGTACTAATCGTGAATTTTGG